CCCAATGTGCTATGAATAGTTGTATTTTAATTTCACATTATACTTGCATTGACTTGCCACATAAAATATACTACCCTATGGTCTTGAAAAGCACTTTCATAAATATTGCTTTTCATAGGTACCGAGTCAGTCACATCGAAAAGCTTATTTTAATGAGTCACAAAGAGAACAGCTAACCTTTCAACTGCTCTATTTTTTTCTGAGACTTCTCTTTCTCTTCTTTCTTTCTCAAGTTCAGCTTTTCTTTGTTTCTCTCTCTCTCTTTCTCGATCAAGTTTTCTATCTAGTTTCCGTTCTCTTTCCTGGTCTTCTCTGTGTAGCCTCTCTCGCTCTGCTTCTGCCTTCAGTCCTCCCCATGGAGCAGGATTAGGAGTAGCCCCAGAACCTAATTGGGTAGGAATTGAAAGGGGGTTTCTATGGAGATGGGTCCAAGGATCTTGGGATGCAACACTTATGTTAGAGAGTCCAGAGGAACCATGGTCACGGCTGGTAAAAACACCAGAACTCCCTAGTCCTAGATATAAATCAAGCCCAACTAAGCTATTTAAAAAGTTTATTTGCTTATAAAAGAAGCACAACTAAAAAGTATTAAATTGTTTGCATTGAACCCTGTTATATACAATTTTCATACGCCAATGTCTTTTCTTCTTATTATTATTATTATAAATAACAAGTTTCCCAAAATATATTATCCACCTTCTGAATGAAAGTTCAAATTTCTCTAAGATTCCGATTTTATTCATATCACTTGACGAAACTCGGAAAAACATTGAAATATGGCAGATTAGATTAATGTTTTCCAATCTACCCAGGTTTGTACTTGAGCACATAAATATGCCATACTTATAAATACCTTCTGATCAAAAGTAGATAAAGAATGAAGCTAATTGTATATAACAAAGTGACTTGGAAGTACATACTATCATAATTCGTTACATGAATAAAACCAAAACTGATAATGGTTACAATGCATTGAATCATTTGTACAGTTAAAACGTATTTAAAAGGCTTAAAATTCAAGATACTTGTGCAAATAAATAATTAAAACCACGTTATAATATTAAAATATTACACTTGAAAGTTTTAGCGTCATCAAACTACAAACCTAAGGAAGAGATTTCTCCAAAACTGTTACTTGGTCCCCCAAAACCTGAATAACTGGATCGTGCAAAAGGTGGTAAACCTGGAATTAGTTATATATAAAAAAAAAATATATATATTTAATAGTGTGTGTGTGTGTGTATATATATATATATATACTTATTTTTTTCTTACTTCAAAACTAATACTGGTAAGTTATACATAACCGTGGCCTCATATGTTAATTTTAATTATTTTACGTGTTAGGTTAATAACATGTAAAATAATTTTTATTTCTGTCGACATTTTGAGTTAAGTTTTATTCACTGTATTCAAACTACATTTAAGATGAGATATTGACAAATGCCTAGGATGATATTAAGCCCAAATACCACTAGGTGTTACTAACTTAAAAGTTTAAAACTGACATCAACAACTAACGTTGTTGTCATGTTTTAAAATGACTAACGAAATCCACGTCTGTTCTGCATTAGGTTTTATTCTTTAGCTTAGCCTCGGACACTAAAATCTAGAACGGTACGTTTTTTACAAGTAATGATGCTACATCTATTGTACGATCCTACTGTTTCTAGCTACCACCTAGTCAATACATGATATCTATAGTAAAGTTAACAATATTTCATATACATTATTCTATTGCTTGTAGTTATTATATGGTCATTACACTAACTACATAGTGTCAGTATTTATATATTTACTGAGGAATTCATCAACACTTCCAGCCTTAGCCACTGAAAAGATTCAAAGTGTAGGAAACATCAAAATATTTATCAATCAAAAAAAGTGTGGAAACTGTATAATAGAATGTTCAAGAATACGGTTTTTGTATTTTCCAGCTTCATCTTTTAGAATCACTCGTATAAATAACTACAGCTGTCGCCAAAAGTTTGTATCTCACTAGTATTATCTAATTTTATTTCGTAAAGAGAAAGTTACGTCTAAAGGATAACTCTGCCCTTCAGGTCCTCATTGTTCTAATGCCCGAGAGGGTTAATTAAGGACGTCTTGAAAAACCACAGAATACTTTGTAAATACTAAGTGCTACTATAACATCTTCCCGTTGATTTTGCGATATCATTTTGAAGTTACTTTGATTAAATTATGTAAATAGAAGATGTGAGTGTTATGTTCATATGATATTTTTGTATTATTATGTTTCATAAATAAAATTCTAGGGTGAATCAAAAACCGTAAGAAGGTCCCCCAGGGCGACGGACCCAAGGCATTTGCCTTGCTTTAAGGTAAACTTCATCTTAACATATATTTAGCATCAGACTACTGTCTAACGTAACACATTTGCCTTGCTTTAAGGTAAACTTCATCTTTAGCATCAGACTACTGTTATTTCATCATCTAACGTAACACTCACTTAGATGGGCTGCAGCTGGGTTCAAGAAGGTTCCGGGATGCGAGGAACCTTCAAAAGGAGTTCTACCGGGTGTGGAACCTTAAAAAAAATAAAAAAAATTTAAATAGTAAAACAATTAAAAACTGTTATTCATTTAATGTGATATAAAATCACGAACTTGAAATTCCTGGAAGACAGTTTCAAACATTTTCGGCCATAATGTCTAGAAATTCTATATAACTTCTTTACTTTAACTCTTAATGCTAAACTTTAGATTTCACAGTTTTAGTTAGACTATCAACACAAAAATAAGAGTCTGTGAAGATACAAACGTAAGATTTAGAACGGCAAAAATAACATTGTAAGATATATTTAACTCTTTCACTACTGCAAGCACAGAATTCTCCCTCACTACTATGAAGAACGGGAATTCCCCTTCAAACTTTCCCAAGTTTATCGGTTTCAAATTTCAGATATACATAATGAAATATTAAAATGTGGCTTTGTTTTTTACTGTGTAACCATGCTACTGGGAGTTGTTCAACTATAGTACAGTGTAACCCTGCCACTGGGAGTTGTTCAACTCTACTAACTATAGTACAGTGTAACCCTGCCACTGGGAGTTGTTCAACTCTACTAACTTATGAACAGTGTAACCCTGCTACTGGGAGTTGTTCAACTCTACTAACTTATGAACAGTGTAACCCTGCCACTGGGAGTTGTTCAACTCTACTAACTATA